CCCCAAAACCCCAAAACCCCAAAACCCCATGAGACCAGATAAGTGATCAGATTCTTATATTATAAGAATGTTGATTTAAATTAATAAATGTGGTAGTATATTTATGAATCTTATCTTAAGTCAAATTTATAACATCAGATTATGTATAACATAAACTATTCAAGCTATAGTCAATTAAGAATTCTTAAGTGACTTCTCAGCTAGTGAAGTTAGTTCTTCAAGTATATTTATGTATATATTTAGTTGTTAGGGCGTCATTATGCCTTTTGTAAGCTAATTAGCTTTAGAATTCTGTAGACTTTAATTTTACAGTTTATCATAGAGATTTTTCTTCAAATATTCGCTAGCATGTAGAAATATATAGGCACATGCCTTGTCCTTGAAGAATGCTTCCTTGCTTAGTCTATTGAACTTATAACAGACATCACCTATGATAGGAAAGTACTAAATAAATGGCTTATTAAGAGTTTTTTCTGTAATTTTATAGTAGGATGAGCAGTTTTGAAATTAATTGAGTCTGATTTCAACATCTTATTGAATGCAGCTCGGTATTTCAATCCTTTTGAAGAGAGTCTTGAATTTGTGTTAATTATTTTGGATCATTTTCTTTAAATCCCTGAAAATTGATCTTTTTTAGCAGACATTAGTCTCCTTTGATTCCACATCTTAAACATCACCTACGTAGGGTCTTCCTCTCCTCTTTATCTTTTTTGTAGCTAGATTTAGATTTGTGGTGAGGTCATTGGTTTAACTTTTGTAAAATTATTCCAGTTCTAAAGTGTTTTATAAAATATTTTGCTTTTGTCTTCTATCTTTTACTCCAGAGGCTTTCTCAACCTGAAATATTAGGTGACTTTTAGATTCCTCTGATTCTAAAGTAGTGTATGTTGATTGATCAATTAAATGAATGGAGATAGACTCCTCTGAAAAGTTGGATTTATTAGATTATGTTTCAATACTCTTCATTGTTATTTTTATCTAATTCATAAACTTATTTTCGAAGAGCTTGTCTTCTCCTTTTAAGCTAGAAGTTTCCTCATCTTGCCCCTAATTTTTGTCATGTTTTTAGGAAGGCTCAGAATAGTTTTAACAGTACAAGAAATTCCTGTTAATATTGTTTAGGTTAGTTTTAAAGTCCTCGCTGGCAGTTATAGTTGATACATGAATGTTAGATTTCTTTGTTGAAATGTTTGAGATTTGATCTTTGCTCTCTAAAAGTTTGGAGTCTTAATCTGTTCTTTACTAATTCAGTGGCTGAATTTAAGTCATCCAGCTGCTTACAAGTGAAGAATGTTGATTGTATTAAGCAGGTTTCTTGAGAAAATAATCACAAATGTCAATAGAGTTATCAGAAAACTCAAGCATATTCTGTAATTTGTTTGCTTAAAGAAATAAAATTATAATTTTAGTAAGATATTATTACCTAATTATTTTTATTAATCTTCATTCTTATGGTTTCATTATCAGATTCTTAGATAATTCTTACCTTAAGGGGTTTTGGGGTTTTGGGGTT